ATTTATTTTGACTACATTGGAAAGAGATAAAGAATAAGAGATTTCGGCTTTTTAGAATCCTTAACAAACCATATTTAGGTAGGTTTCGTTGAAAGAATTAAATATTTAGCCGATAATTGATAATAAATAAATTACTTAATTTAGTACCACAACAAACACTAAAAATCAAAATAACTCGGAAACGCACAGGAATTTCGAGACAGAAGAATGGACATTATTTTTGTTAAACTATATGTAGATAATGAAAATAACAGTTTTTTTTTAAAATAGTCATTGGCGTAGAAGTTCTGTTTAAGAAAGGGGTTGAGCACCCCCTCCACTCCGCCACTGTGCAAGTTTTTGAACATTTTTATCGCTTGTTTTATGCCCCTTAATTAATAGGCATTATCTCCCAAACATGAAAAAAATCTAAGCATTCGTTTATAAGTTATAATGAAAATTCGAGAAAAAAAAATTATATTCAACACCCCGTATCTAGGAAACGAAACCTTCTACGACATATGTTTATAGGAACTTTTCTTTTTAAAAACATGTGTTCTATCTCCTGTTAAAGTTTGTCTACAAAAAACTGACTCACCCTGTATACATGACCGTATGACTCGTCATAGAGGATTGTTGGTTATTCCTTGTCACAGTTCAGTGATGTTTCAGCGCAGCTTGTCGTATAATTCTGTAAACATTTCCAATTCCTTGTCTGATGATGTCAGGAGAGCTACGAGTCTTTACATGTCTCAGAGACAGAAGAAGTATATTATGAACACACATCATGTTAATTACTTTTCTACTTCATTGCGATTTAGTTAGGTACTTCTCATTGTATATGACAATTTTAGACGATGGTTTTTCAGTGGGTGGTTGTATGAGCAGCTCTGTTGCATGGATACCGCCACCCACTATTAATTATTTTTTATAGGATATTTTCTTTTACTGTGAATAAAGTCATATTATTATTATTATTTACAGATATTTTGTTAAAAACGACGAGTAGATAGCCCATAAGCCGATGACTTGTGCGGTGGAGGGGGTGCATATTATTACCATTGCAAAATGCGTCCGTGACCAATCTACACCGTTCATTATGTTCATTTCCACAAGGTAGCCGCGTCTATTTTAACCGTGATGCTAATTTTCCGCTAGTATTGTTAACTTGCGTTGCACAACAGGCGATTTCATTACCGGTGTTTTTAATGCAAAACTGCACTCTAACCTTGAAATTAATCATCGCGCATTCTTTATACATCTTCGTGGAGCGTTATTGTTGACTCCTACGAAGCTGCGACTTACATCACGCCGATTATTTCCACGTTTTTCCCGGAGGCACGTATTTTCTGGACGCGCGATTCGAAAACAATGTTGTTTATAGCCTCAGCACCATCAAAACAAATTAATATTGCGTTATTCTTTTAGTTTTAGTTCTGGATATGAAGTTAAAAGTGCGAATTTGTTATTAATATACCTAGAGGGTGTTTTTAGTGTAAGTAAAGCAATAAGGAGAATAGGTCTTAAAGTAAGCTACAGACCTTTCATAAATGATTACAAGTCACGTCACCAGTTTTGTTTGGAACAGTGATTTTATTCACTTCGCGTGGCAATTAAATTTTAGTAAAATTAAAAATTACTAAAACAATAAGATCAAGACTACGTTAAAACGCAACATTTCGTTTTACCGGGTCATGATTTGTGTAATCTTTTAAGTCATTATGACCGATGATGTTAAATTGACATTTGTGCATTTTTAGGATAACATTATATTAGGACTGTGCTATATTATTACGCCACAAATGAATCTAAACATGCCTACTCAACAACTAGACATGCGCGCTAACACCACACCGGGTGATCACATGATTATCCTGATTGGTTGAGCCAAATCAAATTCACATGTTCATTCGTATAGGTATTAGGAATAATACATTTTAAAACGTAAGATGTACACTGAAAGAAATGAGCTTATTAAACTGTTTATCTAGAATAATGTCTATAGCGCATATTAAAACTTTTATAACCAATATNAGGCATCCAGGTTGCATACTTTCACTAGGAGTGTACGGCAGAGCAGAGTAGAACTTATCTCTGTTATTCCCGAATCTATCATTGAAGTTGCTTCTAGCGGGAACGATGTTCAATGCTCTGGATGGTTGAACGGAATCAGACAGAACCATTCCGATTTCCGTGTTATCCGGCAATATATAACTGGCCCACTGCCTCAAGGCTAACCTCAGGTAACTCCAAGACTCCCTTTGCATCATGTCCTTCGTGTTTTCGATGACGAAGACGTAACGTGTCAAATTCTGCTTCTTGTAGATGATCCTTGGGGTGGTATCGGTGATTTGGTTGGAGTTAAGCGTGTTCTGGGGGACGTTCAGAGTGAAATCTTTGTGACTGATGATGACGTCTAAGACGCTGCGTCTCTGACAGATCAGATTGTGCTTGGTGGGCGCCAGACGGTCGTGGTTGCCCTCGTCGCAGAACATCGACACCTGGGGGGCTTCAGCTGCGAACATGATGGAAGAGCGAGCTCTTTCGTCCACCATTTTGGTGGTGTTGTACACAGCGTTGGGATCCGTAGAGCAGATGCTGAAAGAAAGAAGAAAGAAAGGTTTAGTTAGGAGATGGTAGATATTCCTTTGTTTACTCACCCATTGTCGCGTATTGGTAGATCTGAGCATCCGGTGACTTTTGCCTGTTTGATTTGGTCGTCGTAGTAACACATGGGGTAGATCGGATCGTTATAGTACCCTTGCTCCTCGAAAACCCCATAACGGTACATGGCGAATTCTTTTATCAGAGATCGGGCTAAAACAAATATCATTAATTAGTAATTTTTTAATAATAAGTGATTGACTTATCGTTGCCGTAAAACGTTTCTTACCTAGAGCATTATCCTTCATCAGCAAGCTCTCGTATCCCCAGTAGATCTGATCGCCCGGTTGACCGCAACCCAGCGATTGTTGCGTCCATATCTTGCCCCGGGTGGGGTCGCTTGCCAAGACGGTGACGTCGGAAGATTCACCGGAAGCGGAAAGGACCGAGCTTGACACGCAGGAATCGGGCCAGGAAGGGGGAAGCAAGACAGTCGCCGATCGTAAGTAAGCGCGGCTGTCCAGAGCGGAAAACAGGTATTGGGAGGCGCTTATGAGGGTGGTCTGAAAAGAAAATGGATACGTTAGACATGCTATTACACAAGCTAAGCGAAATTTTCATAATTTGCAATTTTTTTTATTTAATTTATTAAGAAATATATGCTTTCTTGAAAATATGTCGATTTAAGTGGACAATTACATGCGAACTTACAGAAATGAAGTAACTTTTAACTCTTTTTATTTATGTTGTATTTTTACGAATGTTTATAATACTCCAGTCGAATTCGAGTTTGAACGTGAAAAAATTATTAGTGGACTTTTTATTGCACTATTTGACGGACCAAGTTTGTAAATGGCAAATAAGTAGCAAATTTATGTATTTTTTCACTTTTTTTTTACCATTTCCATGAAAATCTAGACGATCTATCGGAAAATTAGTCATTTTGTGTAAAAGGCAAATAAATTAACTACAATTTAAGGTACCGAAAGTCACATTTCACCAATTCGTTAACTGTAAAATAAAAGTTGAACGCACAAAAATCAGTTTTCGAAAATTGTGCATTATTATTGCAAAAAGCGGTAGATGTTGATGATATTTATGGAAAACACGATCAATCCAATGACCAACATGTGTGCCAAACGATGATTCGATTGACCAGGTAGTTGTTAATTAATTTCGTTCCTTTTTTTCAATTATTAGTTTAATTACTAAATGTTGATATCGAAGATATGTGTTGACTGATCCAAAGAAACGTATCGAAAAAGAAACATTTCGAAAAGTTCAAATTAAGTAGCTATTTACAACTAACAAAGTAGGACATGCAAAACACATTATAAAAAAATTGTCCCAGGATCAGGCAAAAGCCCCTCGGGAATTCGCTCTTTTTACATTAAATAGAGCTTATTTTTACATCCTTTCTTTAATTTTTCATTTCAAAATTTCAAAACTGGAATCTTCAAGTTTCAAGATGTTTTTTTTCGATACGACTATTATTTACGATGTTACAGCTTCAAAAATAACTAAATAAAAAAAATTCTGCTCATTTAATTTTTTAGGTCACAAAATTATACAGATTTTATCTGAAATTTGAAACGCCATCTTTTGCCGATCATACGAAATATACTTCGTCATCTACTACACGGGATGTTTATTAAGTATTTGTACAAACCTTAAAGGGTGAATATCTGACTAATTTTTAAATAAAAAGTTCATATGAACATGGATCCGCAACGACTTGGTTTTTGAGATACAGAGCATCCAAAAAAGGATAAGTTATTTCATGAACAAAGTTTCAGATTCTAAAAAGAAGGCGACTAAAAAAAATAATTAATTTTACTAGAACAGGCATACAAATTTTTTAAATAGCAACACAAAGATCCTTATACTGGAATGAATTAAGTGGACTTTGTAATTTTAACGATCTTAAAGATACAATTTTCCGTTTATCAAACCATGTAACACACACCTCCTTTTTAGTCTAGTAACCAAATTTTACGCTTTAAGTTTTCCATTAAACTACATTTCATAGAAAGGAATTTTGGCGTTCTAAAACCCAGGTAATTAATTTAATCCCAGTATACTTAAAATCAGTTTACAAAACAGACTTTTGAGATTTTAAATAACCCTGTTTTCCAAATTAGGATTAATAATTCAGTTATAGAGCCCAGTCAACGAGTGTAAAAATCTTGGGACTTGTTGTAGATGTTGAGCTTAGATTCAAATCACATATAACCAACTTGATTCAAAAATGTTTTCAGAAATTGAAAGTATTATATAATTTTAAGGACATTCTATCTAGAGATATTAAAATAAGATTAACCGATAGTTTAGTCTTATCCCTGTTATCATATTTTGATGTTGTTTTTTGGCCCGCTTTACTTCAAGTGGACAAAAACAGTCTTCAGAAAGTAAAAAATGCCTGCCTTAGATTTTGCTATAATTTAAGAAAATACGATCATATTTCAGGGGCTTTCAGGGATTATAATTGGTTTAAGCTTAACGAACGATATAAAATACATATGGCTTGCTTGGTTTATAAGACAATAACATTAAATAAACCGGCATATTTAGCAAATAAACTTGTTATAAATTGTGATATACATGACCGTATGACTCGTCATAGAGGATTGTTGGTTATTCCTTGTCATAGTTCAGTGATGTTTCAACGCAGCTTCTCGTATAATTCTGTGAACATTTTCAATTCCTTGTCTGATGATGTCAGGAGAGCCACGAGTCTTTACATGTTTCAGAGAATGTTAAAGAAGTATATTATGAACACACGTGATATTAATTAATTTATTTTTTACTTCATTGCGATTTAGTTAGGTACTTCTCTTTGTATATGATAATTTTAGATGATGGTTTTTCAATGGGTGGTTGTATGAGCAGCTCTGTTGGATACCGCCACCCACTATTAATTATTTTTTGTAGGATATTTTCTTTTACTGTGAATAAAGGCATATTATTATTATTATTATTATTATTATTATTATTATTATTATTACTTCGTGTATTATTATT